TACTATATATATATATATATATATATATATATATATGTATATACATCTTAATTTGTGCATCTGATTTTTTTGAATTATGATATTATTTCTTTCAACAAATTACCATTAATCGATGGAAATGGTTGATAATAGATTGTTGTACACACAAGTCCATTAATTTGATAATAGATTGTTGTACATTCAAAGAAGGGGTTGTTATATTTCCTCATCAGTTTTGAACAATATTCCAAGTCAAAGCACACTAGGAAAAGTGTTATCTCAATTTGTCCATAGCATGATCCCAAATAAAAGGCGCGTGGTCCTTTTTTAAGAAAGGAAGATGACCGTGTACAAGTAAAAATGAGCCCAACGGCTCATATTGAATCTGGACCGACCTGACAATCACGGATGTTCGGTAGTGTTTGAATTAAATTTTTTTTTTCTACATATCACTTAAAATGTTAAGCATGTGTTTATAGAAAAATCGGTGAATTTTCAAAAAATATCAAAAAAAATATTTTACATGAATTTTTTTTCCAAAATACCCTTATAAAGTTTCAAGGGTATTTTGGTCACTATTTTTTTTTTGCAGATTATTATTTTTATATTTTTATTTGGTGCGGCTTGATGAGAAGAATATGGCTTGATAAAAAGAACACACGTCTAAAATTTCAAGTGATTTGGATTTGTAGAAAAAAAATTAAATTAAAACACTAACAAACATCCGTAATTGTCAGATCGGTCCAAATTCAATCTAAACAGTTGGACTCTTTTTTTTTTGTGAACCCACTGGCTTACAGGATCATTTTTCTTTTATATATATATATACATATATATATGAGCAATGATCCAATGCAACGGTTGTCATAGTATAATGCAACGACACTTCTAAAAAACCATGTTTGGGGTATTTATATGACCTCAAATTTTGCACTTACACTTTCTTCATCTCAATAATCAATTCCCCCCCCCCCCCCATCCAAAAACGTACTACACCTACTTCTCCTCTACTCAAAACTACTGATACTAGACTACTACTATTTAGTACGTAATTTACTA